GAGAAACAGGGACAGAGGTAAACCAGTAGACCTTTAAACAGAGAGACGGGGACAGAGGTAAACCAGTAGACCTTCACACAGAAAGACAGGGACAGAGGTAAACGAGTAGACCTTTAAACAGAGAAACAGGGACAGAGGTAAACCAGTAGATCTTCACACAGAGAAACAGGGACACAGGTAAACCAATAGACCTTCACACAGAGAGACAGGGACAGAGGTCTGTTTGATATAGTCCACTAAAGTTCAGAGGTCTCATTTATAAAACAGTGTGTAGGATCCACACTAAATATTTAGAGACTACCGAGAGGAAGAGCACTCGTTCACTCATAATTCTTCCATTAATGCAGTCCTCCTAGTCCTCAAAGTCCTCCTAGTCCTCAAAGTCCTCATAGTCCTTATAGCCCTAAAAGTCCGAACTGGTTTAAGACTGTAGTGGAACAGACGCAGACCCGTACTGTAGTGGACTATATCAAACATACCTGGACTGTATCAAACAGACCCAGACTGTAGTGGACTATATCAAACAGACCCAGACTGTAGTGGACTATATTAAACAGACCCAGACTGTAGTGGACTATATCAAACAGACCCAGACTGTAGTAGACTGTATCAAACAGACCCAGACTATGGTGGACTGCAGTGGACTGTAGCGGACTATGGTGGACTGAAGCAGACTTTAGTGGACTGCAGTGGACTGTAGTGGACTGTAGTGGACTCACCAGAGAGTCCCCCCCCCTCGGCCGTGTCCCTTCCTCCTCTGCAGGATGAAGAACGGGTTGGCCCGTTCAGAGACCCACAGAGCTCCGGCCAACAGCACCTCCTCCGGATGGATCCACATCTCTACCCGCTCTCTGCTCACCCACCGTCGGGGAAACACCGGGAGAAGAACCGCTGTTAACGGACGGCTCCGTCTGATTCAGACAAACAGCGATCCAATGTTGTTGTTTTCACAAAGTCTGCTGACTGAACATCACTTCCGAGTATGACGCTGCAGGACCCGCACTCTGTGCATGGTGCGTCATTACGTCATTACGTCACATCGACTCTTCTGAGCGTTCATGATTAAATAAACATTTAAAATATATATAAGTTAAATAAAGATATAATTAGTAGGGAGGGAGACAGTATATTATAATGTCTCCCTCCACCAGACTCCAGCATGTTGTTTTAATCTTAATATATTTTAGTCACATTCTCATATTAATATATATCTGATAAATAAAGTGAGACTGCGCCATGTTAAAGGCAATAAAGACACTTTAATGACACTTAAATGCTGAGGCAGTAAGAGACACAGTGAACTGAAAGCATCACACTCATCCTCTTCATCATCATCGTTACCATTATGTGACATCATCACCAGCATGTGACACAGACACGAGGACAGACGGGTCCTCAGGTCACTTCAGAGATAATATTGATCGATCAGTCAGGTTATAGATTGTATAATGCTTTTAATATATGGAGCTCCTTCACTGGAGCTTATTATTATTACACGCTGAGTAATTCAGAAGCTGTTTAATACATCTTAAAGAAGCAGTCCATCACTTCAGGAGACACTCTGGTTCTCATGTCTGTCAGCCAATAGGAAGAGAGGATTCAGACAGAACCAGGTCTGTCAGCCAATAGGAAGAGAGGATTCAGACAGAACCAGGTCTGTCAGCCAATAGGAAGAGAGGATTCAGGCCTCACTCATGTTGTCTGTGAAGTAACGTTATCGGGTCGATGCTAACATCCACTATTGTTTCCTATTGTGTGTTAGCTGCAGGAGCTAAAAGCTAACTAAGAGCAGCTGATGTGAGACAGTACAGATGATTACAACCTTAAAATAAATATCGGCAGCGGCACCAACCGGAGAATTAACTCCTCCAGCTGTTCATATATATTATAGTAATCTATTCACATTTGAATGAAACTTAGATTATTTAATCACAAGGAGTTAAAACATGAAGAATGTGAGCCTACATGTGTTTTGCTTACAGTTACAGGAAGTGACCCACCTCAGACTCTCTTCTCATTGGCTCACAGACCCGAGGAATCCAGATGTGTTGACTGTCATCTAAATCAGCTGACTACAGAAGGAACTGCTGATTGGTTGGTTAGTTAACTAGATACAAACAGACAGACTTCAAATTGTTGTAAGTTCATTTTGAAAGTTTCTTCTTGGGTCCACTGTTTGTGCTAAGCTAAGCTACTCATCTTCTCGTCTGACTCTGAAGAACAAGTTTAAAACCTCTAGAACTTTTAATAACAGAGGACCCGTGTCGCCTCTCTGAGGAACTCTACCTGATAGAAACAGAGAACCAGAGTATCTTCTGAGATGTTGGACTGCTCCTTTAAATCTAACGTCTCTTTGTTCTACAGAGAAACATGTGTTGAGCTACAGAGGAGTTAACACTGTGAAGCCTTGGTTATACTTTCCAACGATGAGCGGACGTGGAAACGTTTGGATCTTTTTACTCTGTGATGGTTTCTGGAAGCTCCTCAAAGTTCCTCATGGTCTACGTCGATCCACGTAGTTTAAAAAAGGGGCGTGTCTGGTGATGGCACTTTGCTCATGACCCTCCAATAAATCAAGCTTTAAAGTCCACGATTGTTTCCTCAAATGTCTCTCCAGAGGATCCGGGTCATCCACTGGTCCTGGTTCCAGTCTGATGATGAATAGGAAGAATCAGCTCAGACAGTGTCTCTAGTAGAGGAGTTCTGATCCAGGTACAGGCCTTCAGACAGAGGGTCAGGTTGCAGAGTTACGACATGGACAGAAACCTTCACTGGGTTTGAGGAACCGTTTAGGGATTTTTCCAGAGGAACCTTTTAGGGACTTTTCCAGAAACACAACCTTTTTAAAAACCCAGGGCCTTTCCTAGAACTATTTAAGGAATTTGCTGTTTTCCAGGGACCCAGAAACTTTCTGAGGTGCTCAGTAACCTTTCAAGGAACCTTTTCAGGAACTCAGGACCCAGAAACCCTTTTCCAAGAACACAAAAGCGCTTTGATGGACTGGACGTTTTCCAGGATCTTTTCTCAAAGTTCAACAACAACATTACCTCCAGGTCTACCAGAGGAACCTAGTTCAGGTTCTGGATCCTGGGCCGGAGTCGGATCTGGAGTTCAGTTCTCTGAATTATTTGTTTTACGTAGTGTTTTAAGAATTTGACCCAACAACTGGCCCCGCGTGTCAAGGTTAACAAGTGTAAACTTAGAACCGGATCCAGACCAGAGTCTAGACTCCATGTTCAGTCTGAAGAAAATCTGATGGATTGATGATGTTTTAGCAGGTGGAGGGGGGTCGTAAACCATGACGACGGGCCTCAGGACTTGTTGTCGTCATAAAGGTCTAGCGAGGCCTGGATGTCTGGTAGCTCCATCTCACAGACCACCAGAGGAGACATCGAGGTCCTGTTGAAGAAGTGACCTCCGCCTGAAGAGACAGAAACACAACATGCTCCATATTAGTCATAACCATACATCTACAAACATGTGGTATTAGTGTTAATTTACTTCAGTATGAACATCAGTTGTATCAACACCAACATGTCAAATCTACACTAAAGAGTATCTCAGGCTGAACTGATGACATCATCAGGTGTGTATTTATGATGTCATTGGCTCTATATAGTGGACAATTTGAGACACTGCAGCAAACCAAAGAGAGCCTGAATGAAAAACTATCAAATCTGACAAACCAGGGTCATCTTTACGATTAAGGAAATCATATTATTATTCTGTGGTGGTCTTAAAACACTTTTTTATTTCTTTGAATCCTATTTAGATCTTTTCTGCTCAGTGACAGTTTTAATTTTCTTTATGACAGCGTAAAGTTACCTTATGATCCCATTAAGAGTTAGAAGTTGCTTTATGACAGGGAAAAGTTGCTTTGTGACAGTATTAACAGTGTAAAGTTGCTCTACAACATGATAAAGTTGCTAAATGACGGTGTAAAGAGGTCTTTTAAATAATTAAAGTTGCCTGTGGTGATTAGTTGCCCTAACAGTAAAGACTTTTATGGTTATTGTGCTGTGTCTTACTGGTCACAGCAATGGTGATGTCAGCAGGTGTTCTGGGCGTGGCCTCAGGGTGGGGGGGGGCTGAGCGGCTCAAGGCTAATAGACGGCTGGTCGCCCAGCGTCAGCCTCTGACCACCGGACGCCTGACTGACGCCCAGACGCTCCACATCCAACACCACGCTGTCCACGCAGGGAAGACTGGTCTGAGGACAGAGGACAGAGGAGACAGAGGACAAAGGACACATAGAAGACAGACAGAGAAAAGGAGACAATAACTTGTTAATAACACACCTGGTATGTTTGTGTTGTCTATGTCAGTGAAGACTCACCATGATGCCGAGAGCTTTGAGGATGTTGAGTTTACACATGGGACAGGTGCAGTGTTCGTTCAGCCAGGGGTCCACGCACAGCTTATGGAAGACATGTCTGCAGAGACGGGTCATCAAACCATTAGAACCAAAAGGACACGGGTCATCAGACCATTAGAACCAACAGGACACAGGTCATCAAACCATTAGAACCAACAGGACACGGGTCATCAAACCATTAGAACCAACAGGACACAGGTCATCAGACCATCAGAACCAACAGGACACGGACAGGGTCATCTGGTGAGACTGGTTTGACTGGTGACACTGGTCTGGTCTTTTCAGACTCACTTGCAGGGCAGAATGCGAACCACATCGTTGAGCTGGTACGCTTCAATACACACGGCACAGTGGGTAAAGTCTGGATCAGTTTCCTGTGACAGAAAAACACAGATGAACATGTTGAAGTGACATCACTCTTCAAAACGAAGTTAATCCACAATATTATGATCATATCTGGTGTGAATTATTGCTGGAACTGGTGGTGGTGTCGAGTCTCTGTGGTGAGATTAACTGGTCAGTTTATTAACTGGTTCAATTAGTAACTGGTCAGTTTATTAACTGGTTAAATTAGTAACTGGTCAGTGTATCAACTGGTTAAATTAGTAACTGGTCAGTTTATTAACTGGTTAGTATATTAACTGGTCAGTGTGTTAACTGGTTA